GCTACTCTTTTATTTGGTTTGCTTTTATACATTGTAAGAACACAATTCTCTGATTTGTATAGCAGAGTGGAAAAACGAGGCATGTTATCCTTCGTTTGTTTGGCTGCTTTGGGCAGTTCTCTTTTGTTTCCTCTAATAGTTCCAACTAGAGTTGTTTGTTTGGCCAGTAATTTTGTCGCGAGTGACATGCTGGTGAAAAAGTTATCGGTCGTGACATTTCTTCCACAACCTGTATATGGCTCGACAAGTTTCAGAACAACGTGTTCACTGAGAAGCATTGATGGTTGCTGTTCATCTTTCCCCAAATAAGGAAAACCATTCAAAACATATTTGCTACTAACATCTGATGCAAGCCAAAATTTGATGCCAAATTTGTTGGGTTTATTAGGCATATACTGTGTAAACCTGCACCTGGCTTTTGACGGAAATAATTGCTCGTCAACTGTTATATTTTGCCCTGGTTGATAGCAAGCTTGACTCTTTTCAATGAACTTGTCCCATACTTCCGAAACCAAGGCAAACTTATTTGTTTGTAGGTGCCTACTTCTTTCGGTTCTTCTGTCAAAAGGAATAAATCATAGGATTTGCTTGAACTTTTCTCTGGCCATAGTTTTCCTGAAGAATTCGGGACCCCACTTTGCTGACCATAAATAACTGAGTTTTAAATTTTTTGCCTCGTAGGCTCCACAAGCATATAAAATCCCAATAAATGCACGTATTTCCGGTAATGTTGTTGTCCAGTCATTCCTCAAAATTCGGCAGCCTTCTTCTTCTGTGCACTTCTTTATATGTTTGATAATATAGTTATCTATTATCAACGAGAATGCACTGATAAGATTATCTGCCATAATGTTCCTTTTTGCGTAGCCTGTTGGCCCTTTCACACCCTTGAAAATACAAGTACATGGTAACCTTCCAGGAATACCACCTTCGTCAAATTTTGACCACACAGTACCATCGGCAGCTGCTTCGGTCTCCTGAACGGTGTGTTCAGTTTCTTCATCAGAGTCTGAACTACTTAGCACCCTACACCTTGTCCTGGGCATATTGATGGCACTTTCCTTTTCATCATTGGTGATCGACTCTTCATCGCTATCTTCAGTGTCAGATGTTTCACTTTGAATATAATCCGCTTCATTTTCAGATGATACCTCAGAATTTGCTGCATCTGATTCTGTATCGGAGCACTCTTCACTTATGTCCGTTAGCTTTTCCGGTAACTCCCTTCCCTTCGACATTTCTTTCATGAATTTAGGGAGCAAAAGAAATCCAATAAACAACCTATTAGAACAAGTATCACTGCATAAAGATTCGAATACCAAGTACTAGTTTACCTTATTGAGCAACTGCAACTTATCAAGTATCGACAATTTATCATGTACTTGTATGTTATGTGACGGTAATCAAAAAAAAATGAAAACTGTTATTTCAATACAGAGCCGAACTGTTATTACTCAATTCAATAATAAGAGTCATTTGATTATTTAAAATCCCCCCCCCCCCCCAGCAGTCAAAATGACTGCTTTTGGGCAATATAGGTATAACACATATATATATACCGGAAATGAAGGAGGGGGAGGTAACTACAATTATTAATAAATGCATTTATATGTTGTACAAAAAGTCACAAAATTCTAAGACATTGTGTCCTTATATACATAATTGTTTTTCTAATTGAAATTAAAAAGCAGTCAAAATGACTTCCTTGGGCAATCTAGTGTTAAGGGACTATAGACAAAGACAAAGCTTTAGTAACCAAATCCCCACTTAACACATCTTCCTGAAGAACGTTACTGTGAATATTATCTTTAAAAGCTTTCCTTAGCCTTGGCAGGTGTGGCTCTGTTGGTTGGGCATCGTCCTGTGGAATTGTATGGTATGAGTTCTGTTATTATTTGAGTAAACTTTGTACTCTTTTCCATAGCGGCTGCACCAATTTACAATCCCAGCAAGTGTGCAAGAGTTTCTTTTCCCCTCCTTTCTTGTTAAAACGTGTTATTTCTTGTGTTTTTGATAATAGCCATTCTACCAGGTAAGAGGTGATATTTCGCTGTGGTTTTGATTTGCCTTCCCCTGATTAGTGATGTTGAGCACCATTCATTTAGTGTAGCTGTAGGCCACCTGTATGTCTTCTTTGGAAAAATGTCTTCGGATTCTCAGTATATTTTTAAAATGGATTTTTTTTTTTTTTTTTTGCTATTGAGTTGTATGAGTTCTTTATATATTTTGGATATTAATCCCTAACAGATGACTTACAAATATAGGGTGTCCCAAAAATGTATACACATTTTGAATAATTATAATAATGCCAATGGGTTAAATCTGAAAAGAAACATTAATTGAGCTACAAGCTGTTAAAGTGTATATACATTTTTGGGGGACACCCTGTATTTTCTCCTATTTGACAGGTTGTTTTTCCATTTTGTTGATGGTTATTTTTGCTGTGCAAAAGCTTTTTAGTTTGATGTAATCCCACTTGTTTAGATTTGATGTTGTTGCCTTTGCTTTTGATGTCAAATCCAAAATATCATTGTCGAAATCAGTGTCAAAGAGCTTACCGCTTTTTACTTCTAGTTTTATGGTTTCAGATCTTACATTCAAGTATTTAATTCACTTTGAGTTAATTTTGTATATGGTTTAAGGTAGTGGTCTAGTTTAGTTCTTTTTTAGGTGGCTGTCCACTTTTTACAGTACCATTTATTAAAAACTGCCTTTCCCCCATTGTTTTTTTGGTTCCTTTGTCATAAATTCATTAACCGTGTATGCATGGGTTTATTTCTGGACTTTCTATTCTGTTCCATTGATCTATTTCTCTGGTTTTATCCTAATACCATACCATTTAGATTACTGTAGCTTTGTAATGTAGGTTGAAATCAGGAAGCATGATGCCTCTAACTTTGTTCTTCGCTCTCAATCTCAATCTTGTTTTGGCTATTTGAGGGTCTTATGTAGTTCCATAAAGAATTTAGGATTGCCGAAGCCGGTTTGGCTCAGTGGATGGAGCGTCGGCCTGCGGACTGAAGGGTCCCAGGTTCGGTTCCGGTCAAGGGCATGTGGCTGGGTTGCGGGCATATCCCCAGTGGGAGATGTGCAGGAGGCGGCTGATCGATGTTTCTCTCTCATCGATGTTTCTGGCTCTCTATCTCTCTCCCTTCCTCTCTGTGGAAAATCAATAAAATATATTTTAAAAAAAATTTAGGATTGTTCTATTTTTGTGAAAAAATAGAGTTTTTATAAGCATTGCATTGAATCTGTAGATTGCTTCGGGTAATACAGGTTTTTTAACAGTATTAATTCTTCAATCCATGAGCATGGGATATTGTTACTTTGTGTTTTTAATTTTTATCAATGTCTTACAGTTTGCAGGTCTTTTATCTCGGTTTAATTTATTTATAGGTATTTTATGGGATTGTTTTTGCAATTTGTCTTTCTGCTGGTTCATTATTAGTGTGAAGAAACATAACAGATTTGTGTATACTGATTTTATAGCCATCAACTTCACTGAAGTCAATTAATTTTGTTTTTTGGTGGAGTCTTTTGGATTTTCTAATATATAATATGTCATCTACAATAGTGAGTTTTACTTCCTATCCGATTTTGGTTGCCTTTTATTTCTTGTCTAGTTACTCTCTCCAGGATTTCTCATACTGTGTTGAATATAAGTGGTGAGAGTGGGCACCTATGTCTTATTCCTGATCTTACAGAGAAAGCGTTCATTTTTCACTGTTGAGTACAATGTTACCTGTGGGCTTGTCATATGGCCTTTTTTATGTTGAAGTATATTCCCTATATACCCATTTTGTTGAGAATTTTAATCATAAATATACAATTTTGTCAAATGCTTTTTCTGCATCTATTGAGATATAAGATTTTATCCTTCATGGTGTGTCTGCATTGTTCTTTTTCTAACTTAAATTGCACACTTTGTTCATTAATTTGTTAGCCTTTTTTCTAATATCAACATTTAATGCCATTTTCACTGTATCTCATATTTTGGAAGATAGTACAGATGTTTTCATTATAATTAATTTCTATTTAACGTTTAAATTCCTATTATGACTTTTCTTTTTTTGACCTGGTATTATCTAGGAGCAATTTCTTAAATCTATGAAGCATATTGTTTTCAAGTGTTTTGGGGGTTTTTTTTGTGTGTGTTTTTTTATGTCCCGGACTTAATGGGAATTCCTCCTTCGTGGGGAATAGTGACAATCCCTGATTCCCATCACTAATGGGGTTCAGATTTTGGTTCATAGTCTCTGGCTGTGGGTCATGGGATTAAGCCAGTGGGCATCCTTTATGGTCTGAACTATGACTGTATCTGATGATCTTGGAACCTCCGACTTTAGTTCTTGATTAATGAAAACATTCTTGGTAAATGCTTTCACTGGTCCTCTTGCGCAGGCCTGAGAATTTCACCTCTAGCCATAGAATATCTCCTTAAAGCAGTGGTTCTCAACCTTCCTAAGGCCGCGACCCTTTAATACAGTTCCTCATTTTGTGGTGACCCCCAATTTCATTGTTACAAATTGAACATAATTAATTAAAGCATAGTGATTAATCACAAAACAATATGTAATTATATATGTTTTTCGATGGTCTTAGGCGGCCCCGTAAAATGGTCGTTCGACCCCCAAAGGGGTTTCGACCCACAGGTTGAGAACCGCTGCCTTAAGGGATTTAAAGTGGACTCCTTCTACTTACCGGGTTTTGCATGCTTTTGTCACTACCTCCCAGGGTTGATAGTGGGTAATTTGTGTAGTAGGCGTTTCTCAGGCTCCTTCTCCAAAATCACACCCTGATTCTCCGTCACCTCCGTCACCCGTGGTCACCATGGTAGGCAGAGGACTACCATAGAAAGGGGCCGACCTGTGAATGGGTCGTGGCCTCTGGGCAGCGTCTGATCCCTCCCTCTTATTTAGTCACCAAAGCCTGGCACCCCCACCCCGGCCTATCGCCCGCAGAGAGTGACGGCACATGCGTGGCGAGGCGCGCCGGGCGGGCGGGGCTTAGCGCGGTTGGCTGGCGACTGGGTAGGGAGCAGTGATGCGCAGAGAGAAGGCGGTGGAGGGCCTCCGCGAAGCAGGGATGCTCAGACGACAATAAAAAGGTAAAACCCAGATGCAAGACGATTCCTCCTGGGAACTCTCGTGGGGTCTCCCCACCAGGGGCCCGCCCGCGCAGGGACGGTCCGGCCCGTGGAATCCTTTCTTCCTCACGAGCGCGAAGGCACCCCAAGGGGCTATGCCCACGCGGCAAAGACCGGTCTTCGGGGTACGGGGGCGTCTGTGGTGACAGGATGGAGGGGGCGTGCACGCAAAACGTGGGTGGACCCCCCAACGGCGCGCGCACGACCAGGAGGGTGGTCTTGGAGGAAAGTTGCCCGAAGGGGATGAAAACGAGGATCCCTGGACCACGCACGGGCTCAGCCTCACCAAGCCGTGCCGGCCCTGCGCACGCGGCTGCGGCTCAGTCCGGGGCAGTGGAGAGGTCTCGAGGTGTGGGAGCGGGCACCGTGTGGGAGCGGGCACCGGGGAATGTACGGCAGGAGACCGTGGGCGGCCCAGAGAGACCTCGGAAAGCCGTGGGGAGGAGGGGTAGGGCAACGCGATAGGCCCTCCCGGCGGCGATGGGATGCCCTTGCGGCCATTGCCCGGATCAGTCCCATGACCTTCGGGTTGTCCGGAGCTACCGGGCCGCCGCTTTTATATTGTTCCGTCCTCGCTGAGCGTCCAGGGAGGGGAAGCGGCCGGGATGCCCGCGGCTGACTTCCACGAGGTTGGCGGCGCTGTCAGGATCGTGCTGGCGGTGCGGGTTCGGAGGTTCGTGGCCCGTTCTCCCTCCGGAGATGGGACCTGCAGGACTGAGGGCGTGATGCGGCCAGGAGGGGGTGGGCCAGCACTCGCTGCTGCCCCTCCGCACGACCGAACGGGTTACCGCCGGGGTGTAGCCGGAGGCTCGCGGATAGGCTGCCCGGCCCGCGGCTGGGACTTTGGGCCTTGACGCCCCCCCCCCCCCCTTCTCGGCTTTTATTGATCCCCCCTCGGGCGCGTGCTGGGGTCTGGAAATCAGAGCCGCCTTCGCGGAATTTTTCTAAGTCCCGATCCGGCGGCACGGGCGGCATGTGCCTGAGTACGTGTCCCGGACTGGTACGTGTACCAGACTCGATCGCTCCTTTTGCTGCGGCCTGTCCGAGACATGCTCTTTTTTTTAAAAAAATTTTTGAATACATTTATTATTTTGCGCATCAGTTTGCCACTGATGAAAACGACAAAGACATAATAATATAACAACAGGTAATGAGTCATACTGAAACAGACTACATTAAAATCAAGAAATTTTACTTATATAATATACAAATAGGACAAAGGTTTGTAACACGTTCATTGCCAAGAAATAGAATAAACTCAAATACATTAAGAGAAACAAAAATATAGACACGTTATGAGTTGAGTCATCTAGGGTCCAATTATGCCGCGAGAAGGGGGTACATTCTCCGTGGCCAGGGAATGAAATAGGAAAAGCACCACGAAGCTACGAGTTAGCAGAGGTACAAACACGAAAAGCTCCCCGAGTCCTGCAGGTCCCAGAGCGCGCCGCCAGGAGGAGCTGGGCTGGGTCCTGTGGAGCCTGCACCGCGAGCAGATATGCCGCTCAAGCTGCGAGAACTCGCAGCGAGGTCACGTGCGCCCCAATGCGGCAGCCAGGACCGCGGAGCTGCGCGCGAGGCATTTGCGTTGGCCACGCAGTGAGCAGAGCCAATGCCACCTCCCCAAGTTGGATACTTGGAGGCGCGCTGACGGCAAAGATACACTGACCAGCGCTTCTCGCACCCGCATGGGCGCACACCCTGGTCCCCTCTAGTCCCGCGGCAACTGCAGGACTTGATGGGGACAGAATCCCTTATGGATCCAGTAACTTGTAGAGGACCACGTCGCTCTCATCCCACGGCATGCGGGAGGAAAAGGACCTCTCCAAGGGGCCTTGGGGTGAGAGCAGCTCTGTGAATCCAGGGGTCACAACAGGGTTGGGAGAGAAACTGAAGGCGTAGGGGCTGGAGCTGGGGCAGGAGCAGCGGGGACCGTGCGCTGGGCGGCCTGCGCAGGGTCCCGCCTGGCTGTAGCTGGAGGCGCTGGGCTCTGCTGCTGGGAAGACTTGGAAGGGGCTGTGCGGAAGGGGGATGCAGACACCTGGGGCGGCCGGGAGCACAGGGCCGGCGGGGAGCACTGGCTCCTCAGGGAACACAGGTCTGGCGGGGAGCACCGGGTCCTCCTGGAACGCAGGGCCACAGGCGAGGGCTCAGGGACGCAGACGCCCCGGGGCGCAGCGCGGGCTCCCCGACCTTGGTGCAAGGCATGCTCTTAACAGGCTTTTGGGGTCGACCAGATAGCCCCGTCCCTTCCTTGTTCCCCCCCCACACCCCCGCCCTTCTTTGGTGGCGATGGAGTCCTGTGGGGTCTCCGGGGCCGTGACCGGCTCCTAGGAGGCCGGTGTGATCTGTAGACAGACGCCCCGTCACTGGGAACCGTCAGTGTTTTGCCTGGAAGATAAGTGTGGACGTGCTGTCCTCGGGTGATTGGAGGACCAGGGTCCCGGGGGCGTTTCGGCCGCGACCAGAAGCCTGACTTCCTGTCCCGGCCCCGAGCAAAGCCGCTCGCCTCGGGCCTGCGCGCCGGCTGGTGTGCGTCTTGGGCCGGCGAACCCTGCTTCTCTGCCCGAGGAGGGGTTTCCCCGGCGAGGCTGAAGCGCAGGCCGCGCTGTCCTCGCCTCGCTCCCTTCTTGGCGGCCGCTGGTGTGGTTCCCTCCGCTGCGGATCGATGTGACGTCGCGCTCTTGGGACGAGGGACGGACATTCCTGGCGAATGGACCGCTCTTCTCGCCCTGCCCGCCGCCCCTCTCCGTTACCCCCCCCCCCCCCCCCCGTCCGGTGGCGCTGCGCGGACGGAAGAGGTGTGGAACCCAGCCCGACCTCGGTCTCACGCCCACGGTCTTCGGACGCAGCGGACACTCTCCGCTCGCCTCCCGGCCGTGTCTCGCGGGCGGCCCTCCACGCGGCATCGCACGCCTCCCCTTGGGCGCGCGCTGTTTCCGTCTTGGCCCTCGGGGTGCTCCTAGGCTCCTGGTCTTTCCTTAGGTGCCCGAGGCCGAGCGGATGGCGTCGTTTCCCGTTCCCGGGGTGCCGCTGCGGTGATGCACAGAGGAGCCGGAGGAATCGGGAATCTGGCGGGACAGGGGAGGCACGCCCGTCCCGCTCGCGTGAGGGGGCCTGGCCGTGAGCGATCGTGATGGGACCGAGTCCGCGATGCCGGCGGGGCTGACCGTGAGTTCCTGCCTTTCCTTTCCTTTCCTCACCGATGCGGTGTTTTCTCTCGCGCGCGGCTCCCTCCTGGCGGCGCTATTGCGAGCGCTCGGATGGCCCTGTGCCGACCCTGCCCCGGGACCTTCCCGACCCCCATGTTCCCGGGAACTCCCGCGCCTTCGTGGGCCCGAGGGCGGCATCCAACCCCGCCGGTCACCGGAAAAGCGGCCTTTTGCCGCGGTCCCACCGAGAACCGGCCTTTGCGCGCCGGTGTTGCCCCTCGGCCCCCCACCTCTGGGGGTGGGCTGGTGGCGTCCCCAGGCAGAGTGGGGCGCGAGCACCCGGGAGAAAAGACCAGGTGCTCTCGGCCGGTGGCGGCGGCGCGGGGCGGGCCTTACGAGGTGAAGGTGTTTCCTGGGATCCGCGGACCATCCCTGGCCTGGGGGCCTCTGGTGGTGGGACCCCACGTGTGTCCCGACGAGAGAACCGACTGGCGTCCTGGTCTTTTCTTTTTCTGCCAGCAGTTAGGTGTCGCCTCCTGGGCCCGCCGCAGCCCGGTTCATTTCAGCCACCGCCCACCCTGCTGCCTCCTTGAGGGCGGGCGAGGGGCCGTCAGTGCCTATGGGCTCGGCCAGCCTGCGTGATGGGGGGGAGGCTCTGGCGGCAGACACCCCTCTGCCCAGTGAGCATGTCCGGGCTCTCGGGCAGCTGCCCCTTGCGCTCCCGGGATTGAGCCCCAACCTGGGCATGTGCCCTGACTAGGAATCAAGCCACGAGGTGACCTGGTTTCATAGGTCAATACTCAACCACTGCGTCAAGCCAGCTGGCCTGACAGTCACTATTTTTGAACTGGCAAGTCTTACATTTCTTGTCAGGGGTCAATATTTTAAAATTTGTTTCTACCTTGTTCCCCCCCTCCCCCCATTTGTCCCTGATTTTTTCTCTGTTATTGCATTTTTATTGAGTAGTTCGTTGTTATCCCCTTACTGGTATATACTTTAGAAGTTATATACTTTATTATAATTTTAGTAGCTCCTCTCCAAACTTTAGCATCTATCTATATAAAAGGCTAATCAGCTAAGTGTTGGACCATCCAGGTAATGATGTCAAGTAGTAACACCTGGCTTCCTCTCCCTAGCCATGACTAGCCTCAGTTAGAAACACTTTACAGTGTAACCAAATGTCTGTGAAGTGTTTTCCGTGCCTCATTTGATCCTCACAGAAGTCCTGGAGTAGGTAGATAGGAGACTCAGTGGAATCCTATTTTCTTTTCGTTAGCAGGAAAATGGAGATTTAGGAAGCTTAGAAACTTGACCCGACTGAAAAGAAGTAAGTAATGGTGGACCTTGTCAATGACTACCAGTTTTCTCACTGTGCAGAGTATAGTCAAACACTGCTGCAGCTAAATATTTTACCCTTTGTTCTCCCTGCGTGATCTACAATAATGATGTGCTTCGCGTTGATATTTACTGCTGTGTTGCTGACAATTACCTGAAAGAGAAGTTGGGGTGCTTCACTGGGCTGGAAAAAGTTTAGCTACATCAGAAAGCAGGTCTAATTAAGCAAGTTTGTTCTATATCTAGAAAAAGTTAAAGTTACTTTTGCATTAGCGATACATATAAAGCTCTTGCTGGTTCCAATCGCACGCGTGTGTTTCGATCTGTCATTGTCATTCGTGAATTTGGTTGTTTTGACATTCTGAAGCTGAAAGTGGCGGCGTTGCACAGAAATAACAATGGTGATTGAATATGATCGTAATAGTGATCCAGGTAGATATAATTATCCCTGTGTAACCGAAATTGTTATATTAAAAAACAAAGATGGAGGACCTTCTTTTGAAAGGGCTTGCTCATTCGTTGTAAACCAGATCCCAATAATCTCAATGCCACTAAAATGAAACAAATCAGTATCCTGTTTTCTACATTAGTTGCAATGACATATCCTATTCTCTTCCCACATGGTAAAAAAGGCTGGGAAACAGATACTGCATTAATACTCAGAGATGACAGTGTAATCAATAATACTAAATGCAACAGATGATGCCGAAAAGGAAAATTTTCCCATCGAATTTTTTAAAAGCATTACTCCTTCAGGAATGCCGTGTCATAATTAGAATTGAAAGTATGTGCAATCATCATGCTATTGAGAAATCTTAATAGTAAATGGGGTAATGGTACTATATTATCAAAAGATTGCGACCTATAATTGAAGCTGAAGTACTAGCAGAATCTGCGGGAGAGGTTGTTCTGATTCCAAGAATTGATTTGTCCCCGTCTGATACTGGCCTCAGTGTTAGAATAAGTTTAACCAATTTATCAGTCATTGTTTTTATCAATGTTGTTTTTATATCATGTTTTAATTTTTTTAATATATTTTATTTTTTTTACAGAGAGGGAGAGGAATAGAGTTAGAAATAGCAATGAGAGATGTTTTTGTTCTTTTTATATCATGTGCTTTTGTTATATGTTATTGTTTATTAATCAATTTATATATTATTTTCATATATATTTTACTAATTTTCGTTAATCTCTGACACTTCTATTATAGAGAAAGGACGAATAGCAATATTAAAATATTTATTCTAATTCATTTCCTTTCAATGTGCACGAACCCATGTACCTGTCACTAGTATATACATAATATGACAGTTAATATCTTAGTTTCCTAAACTATACAAGACACTTAAGCAACTCTACTCTTTCTTGATTTTTTTGTGGTTTTTCTTTTTCTCTAAATCCCACAAAATATTTTTAGTTCATACAAATGTTTATAGCTTTACCTAAACAAGTCGTTTATTCTTTGCTTTTGCTTTTCCATCATGCATCTCATATCTCCCCTCTGGGGTCATTTTTCTTCTTCCTGAAGTATGTGTTTTAGAAACTGGCTACTCCACATGTGGTTAACAAACTAGCAACATCAACACTTCCCTGTAGTCCTATAGTCTCTCTGAGTCTAGATCAGAGATCTCCCTGTCTAATCTTACTCTTCCATTCAACATAGTATGTTGAGTGATCCTCATAAAATGTAAAGCCAGTGTGTGACTCTTCCCAGTTAACACTCAATTGTTCCCCATTTCGCATAGGTTAATGACATGCCATGCTTATAAGGCCCTTTATTCACCACCCTCTCTCTACCACCCCCTCTCTTGCATTCTAAGTTTTGGCCACCCTAAGTAAATCTCTCTTGGCTCCCCCAATGTGGAGATGCTTTCTCTTTCGGCCTCTACACATGCTGTTATTCTTTCTCTCCACAGCTATCAGTGCCACGCTAACTCATAACTCTTCAGTTCTCAGCATAAAAGCCACTTGCCTCTGGAAAACTGTTCATTGTCATCCACATGCCATTCCCATACATCCTCTAGACATGCTCACATTAGCCTGGCAACTGTAATAAAGACATTCATCTCTTCTGTAAAGTTTGCTTCCATGAGATGATGCAATCTAGAGAGAGGAAATTTCTGAATTTTTAAGCAATAGCCAGAATTTCCAGGATTCTTGGAAAAATAAGTAGAAAAAGAGAATAGCACCAGCAAAATAAGTGAGACTAGCAGGAAATCATGAAATAACTTAAAAAGGTAGGTTTTTTATGGAGAAAAATGTGTTGGCAAGCACTGCAAGATTATTTCTACAAGCAGTAAAAATAATATCAAATTCATAGTATTTTAATAGAAAAACATGCTCCTTTTAAGAAAACACACATATACACTAGACCCAATACAAAATTTTAATAAAATAGAAAGTAAGGAAATTTTATTGTTTCATTATGCATACATGCTACATGTGAATTTACACAAATATATGTACTTTGCAATAGCAGGGATATGCAGATGCAAAATGCACCCTGGAGAAAGAGAAGCACAAGATATATATATATTACAAGTGCAAACTCAATAAATTAGTTACAATTTTATTAGGAATGTAGGACCAGTTTACAGATGATGTGGCGATGGTAGCAAAAGTGGCAGAAGGCACTCAGCACTCACCATGTCTAATAAATAAAGCTTAGTGATTCATTAAAAGTTAGGATACTCTACAGGATCAAAACATCCAGCAGTTCCGTGGATTTTAAATTGACATCTTTCAGGTAAGCCAACAATTCTAGGTAGGCAAGAAATTCCCTGCTGACATCATTTCTTAAAAGAAATTACCTGGGAAAATTAATGATTTTAATGCCTACAAAAGCTGAATGGATCCAAAATATAACATGGTCTCCATGAATAATAAGAAATATTAGTCTACCATCTTATTCTGCTCTTTATATCTTCAAATTTTATCACAGCTAGGGTACAAGTCTGGACCCTAACAGAAACTAACAAGCTTATAACATTGTAAATATGTTCCATTTTCTTTGCAGTTATCTTAATGTGCAGTGTGCTTTTGCATGAAACGATTTACTAAAATATTTAGATTTGTTATATAAAAATTATATTAGTATTCCCACCATTTACTTGACATCTCAGAAATTCAACTTGCATTGGGCTCTAGAAGTTTTGAGTAGTCATAGGTCATTTCTCTCATGTAATCTTGAGGCAAAAGGAAATTAATAGAAAGATAAACATTAGTTTTACAGTAACTAAACACATGGCACCTAAGATATAAAAATAAGTACATGTTCCAATTACTTATGCAATAAATGTGTCTTCCAGAGCTCACACTATTTCTTTTGTTCTTTACCTTTGACAGGATAGTCTCATTTGATTTTTTTTACATTAAGGCAAAAGACACATCTTTTCCGTGGTTCTAATTAGTCTCATTTTTCTAAGAAAAGAGAAAATAATGCTCCCTTTCATAAAAGGTTAGTATCAATACTAGGAAAAAGTTTTTTTTCTTTTGAAAATATGTGTTGGGATTATATTAATTGAATGTTTAAAAATACTAATCCTGAGCAAGAGTAAAAATGAGAACAGTTTTGACTAAAGAATAAAATTCCTTCATTGTTAAACCTAAACAGCTTTAAAATTCGACCATGGAATACAAAGTCAAAAAGGCTAGAATTCAGACTTCTGATTTCCACGCCAAAGC